TCCATGAAGTATTCTCATCAATAAACGTCGTTAGAAATTTAATTGCTTTAGTTTTTTCGATCTTTTCTATCTTTAGCAATATGATTTGTATTTTTTACAAAATTTTGTTCTCTTACAAAGTTTAACGAATATTCGCTATTCGACTTCGTTTAACTTTGATTGGCGAATGTGCTTTTAAACGAACTTCGCCGTTAAACGAGCTTCGCCGGTGCTTTTCTGCACCTATGGCATCAAATTAGTTTGAAACTATCTAAAGATTACCAAAGTATATTAAAAAAACAGGGAAGCTAGAATGGATCTAGGAAAACGCTGCATTTAATTTTAACGCACACACATAAATATTGTTTTAAAAAATGGTGCGCAAAGTAACTAGATTTGTTTTTAAAAGCTTTTTAAAACCACTCGTTTATTTTATGTAATTCTTTGTTAACTATGTTAAAAAGTGTCCTAATGTCTCTATGCGAATAAAACAAATTAAAGTCATCCGCAAACAAGATTAAATTTAATAAGTTTGATGTTGAATATAAATCATTTATATAGAGTAAAAATGATAATGGTCCCAAGATCGAGCCTTGGGGAACCCCGCAGGTTATGGCGCTATTTGTTATTTTTGTTGTTTCATGCTGAATATATTGCTTTCGGTTTGATAAATAATCTTTAAAATGATTTCTTCAATGAAATAACTTTTATGGTGAAATATTTTGGCGTCTTGACTTCACTTTCAAAACATTTCAAGGATTCTTATAATTTTTAAACCTGTCGCATTAACGCTAATTGTTAAGTGAAGAGGAACATTTTAACGCTTTTTTAAAAATCAATAAAATTATAAACTAATTACTGTAAAGAAATTACTCCCTATGTTCAAAATACTGCTCCTATTTGCATTCATTGTAGAAAATTATTGACAATAAATAATGTTTAAAAAAAAAACGCTTTTTATATAAAATTTAGATGTTTTTCTATAATATTATGAACATGGCAATAATATTATCTTTTACCGCCACACTATTAATTTCTAAAAAGGATATTTTTTTTATGAAATATTTTTTTCCAAAATACTGTTACGATTTGTTAAAAATGAATTATAAATTTGAAAATTGAATAACATTGTAGCATTTTTAGTGGAAAAAAATTGTATATAGTACGATCTTTTGAAAAATTTTATTTCAAATTTGTATATACGAAATATGTATATATATATGAATTATTGCGGCCGTTGCGCAGTGGTTACAGCTCTTGCTTTATAAGCAGGAGATCCCGGTTCGAAACGAGCTCGGGACATATTTTCGCGTCACGGTAAGGAAGAAGTGTGAAATTTCTGGTTAAATACACTTCCGCGGTGCTTTGTGACAAAACCATTAGGTCTTCTTGGGGCACCTAAAAAATAAAAAAGCAAAAAAACAAAAAAAAAAAAAAATTAGGGTGGAGTGATTTTGAAAATGCTTGATTCCTCTTTGGATTCTAAGTTCTTGACTGGTCCTAATATTGTTGAAAGTATAAATGCTATGAACATGTTGCAAATGTCTTATTAATCCATAGATTGACGAGCCCTTAAAACTTAATAAACTATTTGGAGATTTCAAACACTTGGCTTGTTCGCTTGCTTTTTTTTTTGAAAAATATTTGACTAATTCAGCCATGAATATATTAAAATATATTTTTTTTAAAGTATTTAAATCATCAATAGAACAAGGAGTCTTTCCTGATCAATTGAAAATTTCTAAAGTCATTCCACTTTTCAAAGGTGGTGACAAATCTGATATAAGTTATTACCAGCCTATTTCTATCTTATCTATATTTTCAAAAATACTAGCAAGAATCATGTTTAATAGAGAATTTAATTATTTTAGTTTAATAATTTATTATACAATAATCAGTTTGGCTTTAAAAAAAAATAACTCAACTGAGCATGCAATTATTTAGTTGGTGCGTGAAATTTCCAATTCTTTTGAAAAATCTCAATTTACATAGGAATTTTTTTCAATCTTTCAAAAGCATTTGATACTGTCGATCATGATATATTGCTTTATAAACTTAGTTATTACGGAATAAATGAATGAGTAACTAAATGGTTTCAAAGTTATTTATCGGATAGAAAACAAATTGTTTCTTGTAATGAACTTAATCATAAACAGTTTTTAAATGTTTCCTGGGTTCCATCTTAAGCCCTCTTTTGTTGGGCAAGGTTCCGACTTAGGCCCTCATTTGTTTCTAATATACATCAACGACTTGCATAAAGCATCAAATCTTCTAAGTATTACGTTTGTTGATGATACAAACTTATTTCTCTCTAACAGTGACATCTATCTACTTTTCTCCATGATGAACAAAGAACTTCAAAACATATCTAAATGGTTTAAAAGTAACAAATTGACATTAAATATAACCAAAACAAAATGGATTTTTTTCCACCCGCTCTCCAAAAACGTTTTCTATCTCCAAATCTACCAAAAATTTTTATTGACGATATTGAAATTAAAAGAGATTCTGTAAATAAATATCTGGGGGTTTTCATTGACGAGAACATCACATGGAAACATCATATTAACTATGTTTGCTCGAAAGTTTCAAAAAGTATTGGAAGACGCGTACTCATTTAGACAAAAATAATTTAACTAAACTTTATTACTCTTTTATCCACAGTTATTAAAGTTATGGCGTTATTGCTTGGGGTAGCACTGGTCAAAGCAAGTTACAATGTCTCTATCCTCGTCAGAAACATGTGATCCGTTTAATTAATTCTGCGGATCGGTTCGCACATTCCTCAATATTTTTTAATCAAATGAAAATCCTAGATATATATAAACTAAACGTATATAAAAATTTATCTTTTGTCTATATGTGGAAGCATGATTTATCTCCTTTAATTTTTAAAGATCTTTTTATTTTGAAACCATTAAGCAAGTTTAACATGAGGAATAATAACTATCTAAATGAACCGTTCTGTCGAACAAAATTCAATCAATTTTTTATCCCTTATCGTGCAGCTCATCTCTGGAACAAAATTATTTTGCCTAACTTCGACTTACCCCTAACTTATCCTGTTTTTAAAAATAAATTAAAAGACCACATTCTTTCTATTGAAAATATCTTAGAATATTTTTAATTTATCTTCTAATAAAAAACAAAATAATTATAAACTTTATTGTCATGTATGTTCAAGTTTTGTTTTATACTTGTTTACAATTTATTTTCATTTATGTAAATACGATTTATTGTTTTTATATGATTTTTACGTACTTTTATTCTAAAAAGGCGTTTTTATAATATGTTACGTACTCTCTTTTGTAAAAGGCTTCAGACGATAAGATCATTGTGATCTTCGTTTAGAAGCCTTGTTTGTATTTGAAAAGTATGCAATTTATATATATTACGTCAAATGTAAACAAAACAAAAAAAAATTAAAACTATTTTTTGGCAACTCCAATTATAAAAATTTAAAATATTAGAACAAAGAAAATAGTTTTGGGGTTAAAAAAACAGTAAGAATATTTTGAAACTTACTTAACTTGTCAATACTTGGAGAACTGAGTGTTATTCGAAATTTGGGTTCTTCCGGGAAGAACCCTCTAATCTGGATAAATAATCTGGATTTTTAAATTTTTTATTATCTTATCATATATAAACATGTGTAGACAAAGGAGATTTACAAAAATGAGATAGATATCCTAGATTTGTATTTAACCAGGCCCCCCAATAATTTTTCGAATAAATATCTAAAAAAAAATGAATGAAAAAAGGACCAAAAAAAAAAAAGGTCCTTAAAACTATTTCGGGGTCCCTTAATCCAGCACTGATCACCCTCCCACCCCCATAATATAATTTTTGTTCCTACGGGCCTGTATAACTACGAAATTGTGAGTATATGCACATACATATATGTGCATATACACACAATTACCCGTGCTGCTCCAAAAAAATCTAAACTAATAAATTTGTTAAATCTTTTTGCAAAAATCTAGAGGGGGCGCAAGACCCCTCGGTACTCCCGTCGTGGTCCTTGATAAACATTTTCAAATAATTTTTTATTTTCTAAATAAGTTATTTTATTAATGATATTTGATTTTTTTCTCATCAAAATTAGCAAATTGGAATAGTATTTTAAAACAAAAAAAAAAACGTGAAATCGGAACAGTATTTCGGAACGGAGAGAGTATAATAGTTAACTGCTGTAATTTGTACAATATATTGTATAAATGTTGGAAAATAGTCGTGCTTGATGACCGTTACACTAACCTTTACGGACTAGGCCCAATATCATTTAAAAACTTCGGAATATAAATTTGCCGAATGATCACACACGAGCAGTGAATGCCAGAGGGGAAAATGAAGTACATTAAAAAAGAAGATAATTATTTTTTGAAAAAAGCATTTTTAGACAGTTGTCAAGACAAAAATAAAGATTAGTAGAAGATTGTTTTAAAATATTATACTACGATGACAGTAATAAGACAGTGTGACCATATTTATAACAATAAATAACTTTTTATAAACTTTTAAAACGAACAAAGATAGACAACATATATATCACCAATATATTGATTGTTTTATTCATTATTAAAAAATTGTTAAAAGGTTCCTCTTCAGTTGACAATGACAAGAAATAAAAAACATCTGACCTTGAACCTTTAATTGGGATACATATATATACATATTTAATAGTTTATAACTTTGTATAAAATCAAAAACGTTTTTTACTTCTAAATAAGAAGTAAAATTTATTGAAAAAATACTATTAAAAAAGATTTTAGAATTTAACTTTTGGCAAAATATAATTAAACAGCAAGCAAATGGAAAAAATAGAGAACAAGTAAATTTTTTGTTTTTGTTTTTAAAATTATAAACATTACATAAATATCCTTAAACTTTATAAAACTTTGATTTTAAAAGTACAAAATTCATTACGACAACACTGATTGTTGAAAAGTTTTAGGGTTTTCTATATACCGATATTCAGACCTTAAAAGGTGACGATGACTACTACCTAGCATCAATAACTCTTTTTACCGATATAAAACTGATCTTTTGGCACTAAAAAGTGTTATTAACATAATTGGCAGTTCACCTCGAAACAGCTTTAGGATGAATATACACTTTAACTGGTTCGCACAAATCTAAGAAACCTTTATAGTTATAATCGTCAATTGCTTCTAGCTGCTCTTTATTGATCTCGTCTTTTATATCCGTAACATAAGCTTTAACTATATTCAACTTTACATTAGATGATTCTAAATATAAAATTTATATATATATATATATATATATATATATATATATATATATATATATATATATATATATATATATATATATATATATATATATATATATATATATATAAAAAGCTTTAAATTCTTTTTAACTGATAGTATTTCATACCTGTCCACGTGTTGTGACTAAGAATGACTTTACACGTAAGTCGATGTTTACCAAAACTGCAACAATTAAAGTCATTCAATGCAGGTTTATGCAGTTGCACTTTATGATCCGGGTAAACTATCTAAAGAGTGTGTGAGTGTGTATATATATACATACATACATACATACATATATATATATATATATATATATATATATATATATATATATATATATATATATATATATATATATATATATATATATATATATATATATATATATATATATATATATATATATATATATATATATATATATATATATATATATATATTAGGGTGCATCACAAAACAACAATTTAAAAATTTTGATTTTATCTGACACCTTATTGCGTTCTATATATTAAAAAAAATACTAGATTTCAAATATTTTGGTAAAAAAAATACTTTTAGAGGTCCCACAACACCCTTGAATATTTAATGGATCCCTTATATTTTCAGCAAAATAGTTTTTTTAAAGTAGGTCATGTTTGGTTTTAAATGAAGCGAAATTTTATAAATTTTTTAAAAACAATTTTTTAAAATAATTTTATAAAAATAATATTTTCGCTTCATTTAAGACCAAACATGACCTACTTTAAAAAAACTATTTTTCTGAAAATATTAGGGACCCATTAAATATTTAAGGGTGTTGTGGGTCCTCTAAAATTATTTTTTTACTAAAATATTTGAAATACAGTGTTTTTTTTTAAATATACACAACACAATTAGGTGTCAGACAAAATCAAAATTTGTAAATTATTGTTTTGTGATGCACCCTAATATATATATATATATATATATATATATATATATATATATATATATATATATATATATATATATATATATATATATATATATATATATATATATATATATATAAAGAATGTATAAATAATAAAGCGAGAAAACAAATGAACAAAATAAAAAATATAAATATAAAATATAAATAAAAAATGAAACATTCTACCTTAACTTGAATATCAGAGATATTATCTACATTTTCAATGTAAGCTACAACAAGTACACTAAGTGTCAAACCAGCACAAAATTTTAGAGGAGTGTCTAAGTAACTTCTTGGTTCTACCATCTTTGCATGTGTAAGTCGCAAACGATTTTTAACAGAAATGTTGATTGGGTAACTGAGAAAAAATTCCTGTAAAACAGTGATAAGTGTAGAAGTTTCTGAAACGTTTTCTTCAATTGAGTCCTGCAACTTGAGAACTTCTTTAAGTTGATCATTTACATCAGAAGTTGATACTACATGCTCTTTAAATTTACGAAGACGTTGTAAAAATGATCCCCAGAGTTTAAGGTTTACCTTTTTGGGTAAATGATCTTTGGTAATGAGTCGAAGTTCCAAAAGCACACACAAACTGTGTGCTAATATTCTGATCTATAAAAATAAAAAAAAAATTATTTTAAAACATACTAAATTATTGCAAAACATTTAGTATTATGATAATACATTAAAATGTTTTAAGATTACAACAGTTAACAGCCATAAAAATTGATTTTTTTCCCGAAAATCCTATAGGACTTATTAATTAAGACATACATAGTTATTTCTTGTTATTTAAATTGTTTCTTGAGCCATTCTATTAAAAGCAAACATACTTTACACATGTTCGAGTTAGTTGATTCAAATAAAATAATTTTATAAATATGAAAAAAATAAACTTATAATTTTTGCATTTGCTGCTGTGTTTTAATTATAATATTATTGACTGTCTGGTTATAGTAAAAATAGTAAAAATGCAAGGTGTATATATATGTGTGTGTGTGTGTGTGTGTGTGTGTGTGTGTGTGTGTGTGTGTATGTATGTATGTATGTGTATGTGTATGTATATGTATATGTATATATATTTAATACTAAGTTTTTTTAAAACTTAGTATTAAATTGGTGCTGACGTTACATCAAAGCTTTTAAAAAGCATGCTAAGACATTTAGAAGCAGTCATAAAAACAAGAGGTATTAAAAGTATTAAAATGAAAATCAGACATGGTATTCTTGCATTTGTATAATATAAAAATTTTATTTATTTCCATTTTACATTATTTGTGAAGATAAAAATTCTGACATCTTTTGTTTTTATGAAAGATGACAATTTTGTAAAGAATATAAATAAAGGAGACTTCACTATTTCTAATGACAAAGTTTACCTATTACAGGCAACTACAGGTAAACTCTTTTTTATGAAGCACATGATGAAACTTGGCGGTCGTTGTTATGTGACCTTCCTATTATGATACCAGAATACTATTCATAAGGTATCAAAAGACATCATGGATTAACAATTTTTTGTTTAATAATTACTCTTGTTTTTAACTACTTTCTTTAATAAGAAGCTGAAACAGAATTGATAAAACTTTAGCAAATCAAAATGTGTGTATTATTTTAAACAAAAACTGCAAAATTTCTCTATAAGTTTGTTTTAAGAAAATTTAATTTTTTAAATATATGCATATCTCTTATCTCTTTTTTCCAAGTTTCTTTTATAAAACCCAGTATTAATTTTTTTTTGTAAAAGTTTAAATAAATTAAAGCAAAATATATTTTTTTTAATATTTTATTCAAATATATATTTTAATGAAATATGTATTTTAATGAAATTGTGTTAAATAAAGTTTAAATTAAATCTAACTTTTGACATATAAATTATACCATACAATTATTTAGGTTAATACCACTTAACAAAAAGTTTATATTACTACAAAGTAATATTGTAAACTTGCCTTCAGTTTTTTATTCTAGCCAGGCATTGGCAAAGCCTATTATATTGTAAGTTATGAGTCTTTATGTGGACACAGTTGTTAAACAAACTATAACTTTATGTGGACACAGTTGTTAAAGAAACTACAAACAAAACAAACTTACAAGCCTTAGTGTGTTTACATTTTCACTTGCTAACCCTGAATACATAAATTCTAACTTGTACGAATTGTTCATAAGATCAATAACATCATTTTGCAATGAGCTACATAATGAAGATGTTGCCATAGCAGCAGGAATAGACCAAGTACGATCACTTCTACATTTAATGAGTTTCTGATGACACTCCAAAAAAAGACACAAAAATTCTGCCGCAGGAGAAAAATATTGATTCATACTTTTTATATGTTGAAAATCTTTAATACATGATAAAATAGATGTGTTCATATTAGAATTAGGCATTTCTAAAACCTTGTACATTCGACTTACAGCAGATGAGAAAAAATCATTAACAACATTACCATCATCATCTGTAAACATTTAAGTAAAAATATAAAACAAACAAAAGAAAAAATACTAATAAAACCAAATAAATTTTTTTAAAATTAAGTTAAACAGTTAAAATCATTATTATTATCAAAAAGTGAAAGTACACCTGTTGAAAACTCTTTTTTTTCTTTTGACTGAGGAATTAAATGTGGAAGGCTGTCTCTCAAATATTCATAATGTTGCTTTGTATAAGATGGTAACAAACTAAATATTGATGAGCAATTCTCAGCAGCATTGAATATAAGGGCTGCTATTGCTATATGAGATGGATCATTTATATTTGGTTCCGGAACAGCATAATAGGGATGGGTAACTAACAATTCGGGAACTAAAGAAGAAACAAAGTAAGAGTGGCGCTTTCCCAGCTCTTTTAAACATCTAAAAAAAAACTAAAAATATATTATGAACTAATTATACAATTTAATTATTAAAAATAGTAATACATAAAAATAATAACATATTGTAAAACAAGTATTCACTATAATTATACAGATTTATCTGTATGGTGTAGTTAAGGCAAAATTTTATCTGTATGGTGTAGTTAAGGCAAAATTTTAAAACATTATAGGGTCTGTATGAAATATTTGGTATAAAACATTCTAGGGTTGACTAAGAAATATTTCCGTTAAATGATCAGGTCTGTGAATTATAAAAAGACAAAAAAAAAATTAAAATAATAAACTTTGCAGTATCATAAAATTGTTTGTAGCAAAAAAACTGAAGACTAAAAATCTTTATTTTTTTTAAATCAATCTTTAAAATCAATCGCTTGTCTAAATTTAAATAAGAATTTAAATAAATAAATTGTTTAGGTAAAATGAACATCATAGTTTAATAATATGATCTGTTCTGATCATTTATTGTCAATTTTCCTTAATTATAAACTCTTTCTTGGTCAGAATTCTAGTATTTTTTGTAAAAATTGATAGAAATATTGCATTTTGACAACTATATACAGTTAATATGTCAGAACTGATTAGAACTATAATCTAGTAAATTAAGGCACTTTTTAAAAAGATTATAAATAAATTCATGTTAACGTTGATGAGTTAAAGTGATCTAAATACTCTAAAATAGTGTTCTTTGGATTCACTATTAGGGGTAATAAAAAGGTTTTGAAAATTATATAAAAAAAGAAAAGTTTCTTTAAATATTAAAAAAATCTGAAGCAAAAAAAATGATACCATCTAAAATTCTTGTTTGGACATAATATGCTGATCATGCTAATTCCAAATAAAAGAATTCAAATAATTTGTAAATCGCCTTAACTACACAGAGTGTGCATTAAATATCACTGACACAATTATACTGAAATAGCTAGAAGTCTGCAAGAATTTCAGCACATATATAAACTGAGCGTTTGGGATTGGGCAGATATTATCACAATATGAAGGACTTAAAAAATACTATACTTTTATGGTAAAAAAAAGTCTCTTTTGACTACAATTTTTTTACCTCGTCTCTTAAGCTGCGTTTTATTGTCTTCAAAATGTCAAAGCAATTAAATTAATGTGGAAGTACATTAAATTTTATTGTTTTTTAAAAAAACCGCAATAATAATGACTAGAAAGTTTTTTTTTAATTAATGGTGTTTCTGTTGTTGTTTTGGTAAAATATATTTTAAAACATGCGCAGAGTGTTGCTACATCGACTATCTTACAGCCTGACTCACAACGGAGTGTTGCTACATCGACTATCTTATAGCCTGAATTGTAATGGAGTACATCGAATGACAAATAGCCTGACTTGCAAGGGAGTGTTTGGCTTGGGCACGCAGTCTACCATTTAAAAAAAAACTATTAAAGTTTTTAAACTTTTTCTGGTCTGGTTTATTAACGCGTTCTTTTAAATTACAGTTTATGGGGAAAACTTTCTGACTACCATGCAAGAGTGTGTATATATATATATATATATATATATATATATATATATATATATATATATATATATATATATATATATATATATATATATATATATATATATATATATATATATATATATATATATATATATATATATATATATATATATATATATCAACCCTTGGAATTATGAAAAATGAGGTTGGCAATAACTTGCTGACCTCAATCCTTTATACATAGATCATCCATGTCATATTTTAAAAATCATTTTGGCATAGTCTCTGGAAAAAATCCAGAATATATTTTCCCTTATTTTCCTCATAATTTTTATTTAGCTGAGTTTCTTTCAAACTTTATCTAATTTTATATGAGGGATGAGTGAGAAAGCTTGAAAAACAAATATATTACAAAAATATATACCTAAACTTGTATGTATGAAAAACATTTTGAATATCAGGAAACACTAAAAGTTAAGATAAATATCCAGAATTCCGGAAATATCCAGTAAAAGATAATCTGTGTTTATAGGTTGTCAAAAAAAAAGGTCTTAACATAAAACAAAGAAACAATTTCAGGTTGGCAGTTAGGCCAGCATTGCCAAATCCTTACCCTAATTCTGAGAGCTGATATATATATATTTATATATAAATTAGTAAAAAAGACAGTTATCTAACTTGAGCTTCTACCAGTCAGTTTCTCCTTCAGCAGGATCATCCGAATGAAAGTCTAAATTTTAAAAATTCAATCGATAAATCGAAATTTTCACATGAAGTTATAAATTGCTATAATTAAGTTCTGTTTTGTTTTAAACCTGTCATATGTAAATATGAAGTTACATGAACAACATCATTTTTGTAAAAATTGTGAGAATTTTTTTGATTATTATTAACTTTAATTTGCAAACATCATATACATTTTTTTTAAAGTTAGATAAGTGTTTTTATTACTGCTCTGTTTTTTAAGAACATTGAGCACTCTTTTTTTGAAATATACTACTATATTTGATATATAAAAAATCTATAAAATTAGAAATTTACTTCCATATAGACTCATTATCCAGAGGGTACTTCTTTAGATTGCTTAACAAAGCTAACACTGTTGCATGCAAACAAGCTTGAGTAGACAACAAGCAATAGCCAAGTAATTCACGAACAGAGTCTCTGACCAATTGATTAAAATCATTTAAACATTCTAAAACTGTGTCAAGTTGATCTTCACGGAAATCAACGTACTTGTGTAGCTTCATTAAGCTTGTAATGGAGTTTAGCCTAACTATCTCTATTTCATCATTAAACATATCAACCAAAAAATCAGTTGAAAGTTGAGCAAACTGTGCATTTTGATTAGCTAACTCACATATAGAATCAATTCCAGCAGAGCGAACCTCCATGTACTCATCCTCAAGTGCACGAACAAAAACTCCACATGCACCAGTATTCATTAGTTGAACCTCTTGTTCATCTGGTTTATTAACTGTAACAAGGTTGTCACTCCAGGTATTACCTGTATTCCATTGAGTATTAATAGAGGTATCTTCGCCTCCAAGAAATCTCTCAGATGCTCGTTCATTAAAACTTTTTGTTTTCTAAAAATTGTTTAAAACAATTTTAAATAAAAGATATAAGAAAATCAACACAAAATATAATTTACAAACTTAACAAAAAATAACCTACATGTTAACCTTATTATACTGGCCAACAACTCTAAACCCCCTAAATGGGATCATGTGTTCCTCATTAACTTTGATTTGCAGATTTAAAAACAGAGATTAGAATATTTCAATTATGTCAGAAAAAAAAAAAAAAAAAAAAGTTATCAGGAAATTTATTTTCAGTGAGATTCTGCAAATTGATTCAATCTTTATCAAATTTAACATTGTGAGATGTCAGTTTCAAATTTTGTCAAATTTAAGATCTAAATTCGAATTCAGTTTTCAGATTAAAATTCTATTTAATTGAATACAAATTTGACAAAATTTGAAAGTCTAATTAGACTTTCAAATTTTATTAAATTTAGACACGAGTTGTTACTCCTGGCAAAAACAATTAAGGAACACAAAAAAAAACTACCATTTTTTACAAAAATTTATTAGGGTTTCTTATAAAACCCATAGTGCTAAACATATTTTTAGTAAAAAATTAACAAAAAATTTATTAATTTTTTACTAAAAATATGTTTAGCACTATGGGTTTTATAAGAATTAAAATAATCCTGCATAAATAATGCCAATCATTAGTATTTGTACAAATTGAATTTCGGAAACCACAACCTACAAAATCTAAAAATAAAATGTTCAGAAAAGACTAGTTTGATTTTAAAGGAAAACCAAATACAAATTTAAAAAAACTTCAGAACCATGGACTTTTTTCTCTAAAATTCAAAATATAAACATGGAGGACAAAAGACATCTCTAGATTATTTTTATGAGTAAAATGCTGACAAGAACAGGACCAATTCGTGAAAAACTTCTGTCAATACTAAACTCCAATACCAGCTTTCTGAGGATTCACATCAAATCCTTTTATCCAGACAAGCCAGAGCAGTCCTTTTACTTAAGGCATCATGAAATCAAAAAAGAATGGATAATACTAAGAAGCTAGATAAACTTTAAAACCAAGCAGAAAAGAGGATTTCTGATAAGATTACATACCAACCTGAGCACATAAAATCAAACCTTTCTAAATCTGAAACTGATGTTGTTGATTCATCAGGTAAGATCCAACTTTAATTCAATTTTAAAAAAAAATAGCAACTTTTAACAAAACTTTGTTTAAATAGGATTTTTCATTGTTATTTTAAACTTAAACAAATTTTATTAATTTGGTATCACTCTATTAAGGTACTGTTTATCCATACAAAAAACAAACTGGAAATACGCTTTTTCAGAAGTCTCCCAAAAGAAGCAAAAGGTATTTGCCACAACCGGACTACCATTCTCCCAGCGAATTGCCAAGCACAATGTCAGGCCACCATTCTAGCCAAAATTTAATTTGGTTGTGATGAAGCATGCTACAGGTATATCTAGTAATATAGTAATACCTAGGTATATCTAGTAATATAGTAATATAATATAATCATATAGTATATATAGTAAACTATAAAGAACAGATACAACCACATACATAACACATAAACACATCTATATATTACAGGTTTTCTTGCCTTAATAAAGCAGCATTTGAAGTCTTTGCTCCAAATTTTTTTCAAAACTTTGATCCAAAGTCTTGGATCCAAAGCTCCACACAAAGTCAGCCAGAACAATGGTTAGATCAAAGTTTCTGCTTCTTCATTAATTTTTCAAGAAGACAGCTACCAACAAGATTGTAACAACGGCTTTCACAACTTATTTGTGATCATAAGGTCATTTTTAGAAAATTTGATAATTACATTAATAATGGAATTTTGTAAATACTTAACTGCAATAACATCGAATGGAATAAGATCAAATGGCCTGTTAAAAATAATTGGTAAAAAAAAAAAAAGAATTGGTGGAAATACATCTAAAATACAAATAACCATTCTCGAACTATATTCAAATAAAATTTGTTCACCTTTTTAGGAACTTTGATCCATACCTTGGCCTAATGCTTCACTATATCTCAAAGAACTAGACCCTGTAGAAGATGCTGGTTTATTGTGAACGTGTAGAGGGTAGACATACATTTTAAAACATTATTAAACAACTTGACAAGGCAATTATAGAGATTGCAGGCCTCTTATCTATTGTCCACAAGGCATGTACAAGCAATAATGCAGCAAACATGCTAGCTGCCATTCCACAACTGACTCATGAAATTCAGGAGGACTTGCGTGTGCATATCACCTACTTATTCTTGTGGTGCCTGAATGTCTCAGCATCACTGATGTAAAAAAACATTGTTAATGGATTTAAAAAACTGTCATCCAGAACCCACAAAAGCAGTATTGACCAACAGAGAATCAGAACAGAGTGTGTCAGAATGAACTATCAGGGGATGATTCAAGAAATGAAAATTATTTAATTAATTAATTCTTTTTTTTTAATGAGCCTTTTTAATATTTGGAACATACAATCAAACTTAGTTATAACATTGGTTCAAATGAAAAAATTTGTCTGGTCTGAAGCCATTTTTATAACCAAGTTTGACAGTGGTTTTAAACCAAATTTTACCAATATCTCTTTCAGTTGAATTTGTAAAGATCATTGCACCAGTTGAGGCCCACTATAAATTCAGCTTGATGATGATAAAGTCTATCTATAGAACATCCATACATCAGAGGAATTTGAACAGGTAATTTTGATAAAACTTGGTTTTTTCTAAACTAAAAACTATTAAAATTCTTTATTCCTAATAATTCAAATCTTAAAAAATGAATAAATTAATTCTTTTTTCAGGTTGTTGCCATCATTAACCCATGCCAAGATTGAAAAGATGTCTTCACTCTTTTCCTCTGACCAACAATCTCAAATGTGGTGTCCAAACTTTTCAACATTAAGAGATACCTGAATTCTCATCCTAAAAAATATCAAACAGCATGAAGAACAAAGTGTTCTGCAAAACTATAAAGTCAATGTTGTAAAATTCTCAGTTTGTGTGACCAAAAACAAGCTCTATGTAATGAATTTTCCACCCATTTTACAAAGGACTCATACTTGCCCAATATTAAAATGCAGCAAATATAGAAATGATTGAACTAATGATCAATGAGAATAATGTTTTGTCAGTCCAAGAGTTGATTCAAGGAATTCTTGATGAGAAAGATTACAGCATTTAAGCTTAAGTAATAAGAACTAAAAAAATAATTAAGAAAAGTGTGCCAAAAAATACCTTTATATTCAGGTAAAAAAAAAAGAAAAAAGAAAAAAAAGTGAAGAAAAAAAGAAACTTGATTTTTAAATAATTTGTAAAGAACAATTTCAAAGTGTGAATTGTGAAAGTTCAAATTACCAAGTTATTAGACTTAAGCCATTCCAAATTTTCTGCTCTCTTTTTTTTTGTTGGTTTAAATTTTGACAAACTATTAAAATCAATTCATTTTTCAGTCATCATATGCTAGCTCTAAGAAAGCTTTTCTTTAGAAGAGGTGCAATACAAAAATGTACAAAAAAACAAAACTTAATGACAAAAATGTCCACATGCTGGTCATCACTGGTGAAGGTGATATGGAAAAAATAGAATTCTTAGTAGAAGGCTCAGCCAAAACTCATTTTGCCAATTGAGTGGGTGAAAAAAAAGTGAAATGAAATCCAACTTATTCTTTTTTTCTGTCATAAATAAGTGCCAAAGGACAGAAAAAAAGAATAAGTTGGATTTTTGTCCTCAAGTACTGTCACATGGTATTTTTTTAAGCACCAGAGATTTGTATTTAACGCATTGACATAAATTAATTTTGTTTAAAAATTTCTATAATTAAAAAAGAATAAAAATTCGTTTTTATAACTTTTTTGTTAAAACTTGTATAACTTTTTTTTTTTTTTAAATTTTTGTTAAAATTTATACAATTTTTTTTTTGATATAATTTTTTGTTCAAATTTTTACTATTCTTTATACTATAAGAAGAACACAGCCACATAGTGATCAGCTTTTAATTAGTTGGTTTCCAATTCCAACTTTACAAACAACGGCTATGTGCTCAAGCAGGATTTAAACTCAATGTTGCATTACAAGTATAACGCTCTAACTGTTGTACTATGGCTATAGTTCCTTGTAAGTTAAAAAATAATTCCTCTTAAGTTGAAAAATGGTTTTTAGCCAAAAAATTTTGATTCTTTGAATGATATTAAAGTTAATTTGATAAAATGAATGATATTAAATTAACAAAATTTAAAAAGATCAAATTTGAATTTGACAAAGTTTGAACTTGAAGTTTGAGTTTGACACAAGTTCAAATTTAACAAATTTTGACCATTTTGAATTTAATTTCCAAAATTTAGAAAAATCAAAATTTGAACTATTTTGAATGAGTTCAACCAAACTTAACAAATAGCAACAAATCATATTATTTAGTAATAATTTTCCATTACAACATGAAATTATTGAAATTAAGCTGTAAGTGAATTTATAAATCAAAATAATAAAATTATAAATTTAAAACAAAGGCCATACTTTACCACTTGACATTAACTTTTTATCCAATGTCTGCTCTAGCAAAGCAAAGCTAACATTGTGCAATGAACTTAACAAGCTAACAGCCTTTGCTCGAACTTTCATTGAGCTGTCATTTACCATACTACAGATTTTTATAAAAGCATCATCCATTAGTGGAATACCATCAGGTTGACACACTGAAGAAATCAGTCTACATATAAAATTGGTGTTTATTTTACATCTGTTCTGCTTACTGCTTTCTGTACATAAAAAATCTTTAAAAATTTTAATTATGCATAATTTATTTATCATAATATAATTTATTCAATATTTTAACTTGTTATAAATTATTTTAATTTACTATAAATTTAATTACATTATTATAAGTTATTTACACATTATAAATCATTTTAATAGTTTTGCAATTTTACTAACATCTAATAAATAATTAATTTATACAAATAATTATAATTTGCATAAATAATTGACTTTTATATTATAATAGATCATAGAAAAAAATTATTAATTAAAAATAAAAACTATTACACAAAAACCCCAAAAATGACCAAAAAGCTTAAAATTTTTTAAAATATTGTTAATAAAATATTTTAAATTGAAAAAAAAATTGTTGTTTAACCCCAAATATAACTCAAAAAAAAAGTTTGACAAAATGAAGTTTGTGCAGAAAAATAATCTGAGCACAGTACAACCAGGGAAACAATTTTCCTGGTTGTACTGTGCTCAGATTATCAGAAATATCAGGTGTTATATTAGTTATAACAGGAAAGTAAAGAAATCATTTTGAAATTGGATGAGTTCTTGAGGTTCCTCTAGGACCAAATTTTGAGGGATCCTTATACTTAAAAATTTTATTTTTAAAACTGATAAAATAATATTGTTTTTTATTCAAAATTAAATAATATAATGATTTTTTTTTGTTACTGTTTTCAAAGTTTTCAAAAATTGTCAATAAAAACTTGCTAAAAAAGCAACTTTTTATTCAACATTTTTTCTTTTAAACTTTAATTTGATAAGATTTATATACAAAGCTAACATTTTAACCTGCTTATTTGAGTCAAAGTTGATATGTTTGTTCTAAAGAAACCTCAAGTGTATGTTCTAAAGGAACTATATGCTCTAAAGAAACCTCAAGAACTCATTGAGTTCAATCCCAACCATATCCCTGGTCGTACTGAACATAACTTGTTTCTCTGCGCAGTGGCTTTGTTTGTCAAGGCTGGAGTTTTCGGAGTTGAGAGAGGGTTGCAAGCACAACTAAAACAACTTCCTTAACTGTAGTGGTCTTCTCGGCCTTGGGGAGGAGAATTAACATAAAAATTAAATACAAAAATAAATAAAAAGTAAATTAAATGTTTTTTTAAATGACAACGATTGGCAACTCTAGGCAAATCTAATTTAAAAATTTTTTAAATTGCTCTAACCTACTCTAGAACCTTGAAAAAGAACTTTTGGGAACTTATTTTTAAACTTATTAAACTTATTAAAACTTATTAAAAAAAAAAAACTTTGTAGGTTACAATTAAATAAACTAAAAACATAATTTTATAAACACAAAAAAATTTAATGATTTGTTAATAAAAATTTATCAAAAAAAGCTAATAATATTTTCAGTTTTCAGGCCATTAAACTGTATTTAACTAATTTTTCTTCAACTTTTTTTAGATCTTTAAATTAATTTTAAAGCCTGTAAATTATTTTAAAATAACTTTTAAATTTAAATTTTTTAAAATCATTTTTATAATTAACAAATGGTAAACAATTCTATTAAAAAATATTTTTGCAAAGCAAACCTCTCAGGCTGGGTATGACTGAAAACCCATATCAACATTATTGCAGCTTGTCGAACATCCTCATAGTCATCAGAAAGTGCAACACATGCTTTTTCATATAAAATAAAATCTAATATGTGTCCACGCTGATGTAGAGTTAACTAAGTAAAAAATATGTGTTAAAATTACTTAATAATAATAACAAACCAAACATCAAAATAAGCTTTACTAAAAAGTGCTTTTTTAGTAAAAATAAATAATTCATGTAAAAAAAACATTTAACCCAAATCTAACTCAAAACATAAATCTAACACAAAATCGAAATTTAAATCTAACAATAAATTGATTCAATTATTCTTACTTTTTGTATATAACAAAAAGCAACGCCCAAATGTCAATAATAATGGTTGTTATAGCAATAGTTAATGTTTTAATTAAATAAAAATTTGCTTACCAGAGATTGGAACACAACTTCTCTCACACGAGGATCTTGATCAGCAGAAAACTCATTAAATAGTTCCAAAGGAGTCACTGACCTTGCACTTGTAATTTTAATTGGTTCACTCATACAAATTCGAGATATCAAAAACAAACAAGAGCACCTCACATCTTGATGACAATCTTCAAGTTTCTTTATTTAAAATTATGTAGATTTAAGCATAATCTTTAATAAGATAGAAGTGAAAATACAAACAATAAAGTGAAAATATCGATCATGATTCAAAGGTTATTATTCCTATTAACTATCACAAATATTTAATAAATTCAAATAAATTTAATTAAAAACCTTGATAGCAGTTTTTAAAATTCTCTGGATAACATCAGATTTGTTAGGAATTAAAACTGAAGTCATTGTTAATGATTTGAATATTCTGCTGATAACACTATGGTTATCTAAATGAGTAAAAAACAGAGAGTTCATAATTTTGATGTTTATATATATATATACATATATATATATATACATACATACATATATATATATATATATATATATATATATATATATATATATATATATATATATAATATATATATATATATATATATATATATATATATATATATATATATATATATATATATATATATATATATATATATATATATATATATATATATAATATCAGGCCTTGGCGGGAAGCGAGAGCTATAGCTCTCGCTCTCGCCCACACTCCCCTAAAGTGGTTTACGAGAGCTATTTACAGCTCTCGCTAAACTATAATGTTGCTATAATGTTGTCATAAATGTAAAACACTATACTTTAATTTTTTCTTTTAGATATTCATTAGAAAAAGTAAATATTCTGGCGCAAAATACATCGTATAAAAAAGATAAAGTTTGAGTTTCAGATTGACTTTTTAGCTTACAAAATGCGCTCGTTTATTTTTTTAAGTAGTAGTCTGTGATTTATTTTTTATTTTTTGTGATTTTATTTCAACTTTACAAATGGATAAAAACTTGTCGACTTAGTAATATAAGTTATTCTATGCAACAATAATTTTGTCTTTTAGTAAAGCAGAGTGTTTTTTTTAATATAGTATTATAAATTCGAATATAAATATTACATAATTACACTGAAAAGTTATAATAGAAATAATAATAAAAACTTT